GTACGTGTCCATCGACAGCTTGTGTGCTCCGAGTAAGTCGTCCAGCCACTTCGCCTTGACTGTGTAGGTCAGCTTGGTCTTCGTCCAGGCGGGTTCGTAGTTCCCCACGACGCACAGCTCTCCGTCGCCCAGGCGCACCGTGCCTTCCTTCGCCGCCCACACGTAAAAGAAGCCCCGGTCCAGAGACTTCTGTAGCCGCCTGCCGCCCCACCCCTGGCCCAGCAGGTCGTTCGGCTCCCCGTTCGGGCGGACGCCCTCGAAAGCGAAGGTAGACGCGTTCCTGTCCTGAGCACGGAAGAACTGCAGCATCAAGTGCAAGTGGTGGCCCCCGTCGTGGTTCGTCTCAAGGGTGGCACACCAGAAACGAACCTTCCAGCTGGCCAACTGGCTCTTCACGAAGGTCACGAACCGCTTCCAGCAACTGGAGTCCGGAAACTTTTGGTAGGTCAACAGCACACCCTGGGACTGGAAGCGAAAACCCTTCCGCCCCCCTCGGGCGTCTTCCTCAAGGCGCACGGGCAGCACAGGAGCTTCACCTGACTCGTCCTGCTGCTTCCCGTCGCGCTTGCCTCCTCGAGGCTTCCTCGCCTTCTTGGCCGCCTCCCAGGCGTCGTGAGCGTTGTTGAGGGCGGTCTGGTCTTCTGCCTTGCCGCCGCGGTCGGGGTGGGTCTTCAAGGACACCTTGCGGTAGGCGCCGCTCACCTCCTTGTCTGGCGCGTCCCTCTTCAAGGTCAGCGCAACGCCGTAAGCCGCAGCAAGGGTCCGAAGGAGGCTGACCAAGGCGCGCTTCGCCAGGTCGATGGCGGATGGCACGAAGCAAAGTACACTCCCAAAATACAATGCTTCCCCAACCCCCCACCAGTGAACCTGGAGCCAAAATGGCTACGGACATGCGGGGGCTCGGACAGGCTTGGCTCCAACAAAAGTTTCCTTGGAAACTCGCAAGAGGAATAATATGTATGTAAACCCGTCGGCAAGATGAAAAGTCGCGCGCGCGTGCTCAGCGTTCGCACGCACGCGACCCCAAGACGCCCCATGGCCACAACATGCTTCCAGGAATGCCTCAGGCCACGGACGATAACGTCCAGAGGACCCAGGATGATGCCACCCCATCGCGATCCCGCCATGGATTCTGGACCGTCTCAGGCCGACTCGCAGATGACGAAACACATGAGCAACGCGTGACGCCGAGATGGCCCGATGGCAACAAGATGGGTCCAAGCGCACCCAGGGTGGCCTCATAATGACCACGCGATGGTTGCGTGATCCAAACATGACCGGGATATGATCTCAAGATGACCTCAAGACGACCCCAACACGGCAATACTACTGCAACTTATGAGCCCCATCTTACTTCGAGCCGATCCCAGCATGGTGGGATCCGTGAACGACCCGGGATTTTGGTCTACCCCATTTTTAATGGGTGGGATTTTGATCGTCCTGAACTAAACTTATAATATTAAAGCGGAATACGCCAGGCGGGATCCCGCCCGGCCCACGGAGGAAGACAACATTGCTAGGTTTCTACGGGGGGTGGGGGGTTCGGAAGGGGCGTCCTTGAATTCCGCTGACATTGGCAAGCCTTCCAGCGGCCTTCCCCCGTCTTCCGCCTCGTTTTACCTCCGTCGACTTCCGCAGGCCAGCGTCGTGATGAAAATTCAAGGAACTTTCATTGGGCCGATGTATCGCCTCTAGGGGATTCTTCCCAGGCATGGGGGGGCGAATGGCGGGAGGTATCCTGGCGCCTCTAGGGCGTTGCAAAGGGGGGGGGGTGGGGGCGAATGGTCGGTCCTACGGCCCCAGCGGCGCTGCTAAGTGCGGCACCTTGGCGAGCGTCACGGGGGCGAACCTCGCAGGTCCATGCGTGGATGTCAGAGAAGTGCCTCACCCCCCATAGGTGGGATAGCGGATGGGGTGGGGATGCACGCGCACGCCATATACCGATGCTGTTGATGTCGCGATTCGAAGAAAAAAACGCCATTAACACAAACATTTGGCGCTCCGCGCGGATTTCTGGGATCCGCGCCTGGGCCCCCCCGGCAGCGCCTCCAGCGCCGCCCCAAGAAATTCACGCGGAGCGCGCCACAAGTTTACGCAGCACCCCGTAGATGCGGATAAGAGTGATGGGGCGGTGGGGACGTCGGCTGTTTGTTCGTTAAGCCAATGTGGTTCGGTCGCGGGTGGGTTGCGGTGGGTCGCAAATGGGTTGCGGGTGGGTCGGGGTGGTCGTTGTGGGTCGCGGGTGGGTCGCGGGTGGTTCGCGGATGGGTTGCGGGTGGGTCGCGTGTGGGTCGCGGGTGGGTCGCGGGTGGGTCGCGGGTGGGTCGCGGGGGTGGTCGCGGGGGGGTCGCGGGGGGTCGCGGGTTGGGTCGCGCGGGTGGGTCGCGGGTGGGTCGGGGTGGGTCGGGGGGGGTCGCGGGTGGGTCGCGGGGTGGGTCGCGGGTGGGTCGCGGGTGGGTCGCGGGTGGGTCGCGAGTGGGTCGCGGGTGGGTCGCGGGTGGGTCGCGGGTGGGTCGCGGGTGGGTCGCGGGGTGGGTCGCAGGTGGGTCGCGGGTGGGTCGCGGGGTGGGTCGCGGGGTGGGTCGCGGGGTGGGTCGCGGGGTGCGTCGCGGGGTGCGTCGCGGGGTGCGTCGCGGGGTGCGTCGCGGGTGGGTCGCGGGTGGGGCGACGACAACAAACAACAACACCACCAACAACAACAGCAACAACACCAACAACAACACCACCAACAACAACACCAACAACACCACCAACAACAACACCAAACACAACAACACCACCACCAACAACAACACCAACAACAACAGCAACAACAGCAGCAACACTGCTACTGGCAGCACCACTACGCCCAGCACGTCTGTGAGTAGTACGACCGAGAGCAGCAAAACGAGTATGACGAGTACGACGGGTACTAGCGGCACCACTACGCCCAGCACGTCGGCAGCACCCCGGGCATGACGGGTATGACAGGAACCAGCGGCATCACTACGTCCAGCTTGTCGGCGAGCATACGACCGAGAGCAGCACCACGAGTACGACGAGTACGACGACTATCAGTGGCACAACTACGCCCAGCATAACTGAGAGTAATACGACCGAGGGCAGCACCATGAGTATGACGAATACGACGGATACCAGCGGCACCACTACGCCCAGCACGACGGGGAGCGGTTCGGAGGGGACAAGTGAGGCAGTGAGCGCAATATGTTGTTTTTCCTTCCTTGCCCATCCGGTGTGCACTGGCTGCTGTTTTTCCTGTTTTCCCTTTCCTTTCCTCCTTCCCTCCCTCCCCCCTCGTTCTCCGCTCGCCTCTCCTTCGTCGCTCTGTTGCATGGGAGGTATTCTGTATAGTGTTCTTTGCACGCCTATCTGGCCTCTCCCTGGCCACAGGCTGCCGACCTCGGGCTCCTGTGCCACGGGCTTGGTTCTCTGCCGCCGTTGGGGTTTCGGCCAATCCGGGGCGCCAGGGTGCCTCCGGTCCAAAACCTTTCGAAATTCCAATGCTTGTCTGTACAGGCCGCTGTCTTTTCAGTCGCGGTTCCTGCCTGTAGCTATTCTCGTATTTGCACATGGAGCCTGCTGGCTGTGATTGTGCTCCCCCTTTCCGCTTGCCTCCTTCCCTCTCCTCCTTCCTCTTCTTCCCTCGGAAATGCCGTCGAGTTGCACTAGGTCGCCAGTTTTTTCTCGTGATGCTGGCGGGATGGACGCGGAAATCTGCGGTCCAGCTCCTTGTGCTAAAGGCGTTGAACTGCGGGATAGGAACCAGGGTTTTGTTTCTATCGTTTTTTGTCTAATGCTGTGCTCGTTTGTGCTCGTTTAATTCTGTGCCGTTATGGGTCTGCTCTGCCGCTATAGAGTTTCTGACCGGTACGAATTGCCCCCGTGAGGGGAAGCGGATTCCAAATTGAGTGCTGCTGGGGAAACGTTTCAACGCTTGACGCCTTCGTTTCATTTATGGCGGGCTGGTGGATCCGGGGCATGCGGACTTCCAGTCAAGCGGTTGCGTGATGGTGGAGCGATGCGCGGGGTGGGGAGAACACAAATCAGCAGCAACAACAACAGCAACAACACCATCAGCAACAACAACAGCAACAACAACAACGGCAGCAACATCAACACCAACAACAACACCAACAACAACACCACCACCACTACCAACAACAACGACAACAACAACAACGCAACCAGCATGTTTATCACCACGAATTCCCTATTCACTCACGCACCCAGGGACAATGCATGACCGTTCGGCCCTCTCATTTTTTTTTTTTTTTTTTGTTGTTGTTTTTTCCTAAAACGGATGTAGACGATGGTGACGACGCTGATCGTGACGACGGTGGTGGTGATGTCTGATGATGGTCAGGTCATCCGAGCCTTCGCGATGGTAGTCAAAGTGAGGGGGCCGAACGGTCATTCATTGTCCCTGGGTGCGTGGCTGAATAGGGAATTCATGGTGAGATTTCTGCTTGTTGCGTTGTTGTCGTTGTTGTTGTTGTTTGTTGTCGTCGCCCCACCCGCGACCCACCCGCGACGCACCCCGCGACCCGCCCCGCGATCCACCCCGCCACCCACCCGCGACCCATCCGGCGACCCACCCGCGACTCAACCCGCGACCCACCTGCGACCCACCCCGCGACCCACCCGCGACCCACCCCGCGACCCACCCGCGACCCACCCCGCGACCCACCCGCAACAATTCCGCAACCCACCCGCGACCCACCCGCGACCCAACAACGACCCAATCGCGACCCACCCGCGTCCCATTTGCGACCCACCCGCGACCCACCCGCGACCGACCCACATTGCTTTAACGAACCAATCAGCGCCTGCGGCGGGGTCATTGTGCAATTTGAAAATTTTGGCGCCTGCGGCGGGCTTCTCCAGAGTCTCGCAAACAGCCGACGTCCCCACCGCCCCATCACTCTTATCCGCATTTGCGGGGTGCTACGTTCTTTAGAATTCGTGCTACCGTCGGGTTCTGTGCGATGGCTGCTCTGGCTCGAACCCTCGCGGCGATGGGAGCGTGTACATGGCTGGAGCGCGCTGTCTCGTAAACCACGGCATGCGCTCGAGAAGCCGCCTCGCGTAGCCTTGCACGATGCGGCCCTCGCGTGCCCGCCGGGATCGAACGCGCGCGGTCGTGCCGTTGGCGGTGGCAGTCTCCCTGCTCGGGTGGCGGCCCGCCGTTCGCCGCACGGGCTTCTGCTGCTGCAGGGGGCCGGTGCCGCCGAGCCGGGGCGGGGCGCAGAGGCGCTGCGCACCGGCCGCCGCGGCGGAGGTCCAAGATCCAGACGTGGCGGCGCCCGCGAGAGGGGATCCTTCGGAACTCAGCTGCCTCGATGCGCCCCGCAGCATGTACCGTGCGCAGGGCGTCCGTGTCGATACGTTGCGCGTGTTGGCGCAGCGTGTTGGCCCACGTTTTGGCGAGCTTTTGGCGCCAGACCTGCGTTTTCAGCCTGCGTGTGGAGCTCCGTGTCAACACGCCGCGTGTTGCGTGTTGCGCAACGTGGCAGCTAGGCTGCTGAATTCTCAATGTCTGATTACTTCGTTGGGCTGGCTCCAGGAGGCTTCTGGGAAGTGCCCGTTGACGGAGGATGTGACACGGCAGGTTTGCGTCATGTCGATTCGCCGCGACCCCGCTGCGGGCGTTCAAGGTTGAACGCCGCCAGTGGCCCAGAGTCGGCCCAATATGGAACGACCTGGCGGTCGAAAAGCCGCCGATCGCTCAAGGTTGAACGAGCCACGCAGTGTCAGAAACTAACGCCGGGTTCGTCATGGCACGAGCCCGCTGCAGGGTGGAGGACGGGGGGGTGGCGCGAGCAGGCTGCTTTTCATATTCTCTGGCGCGCACCTGTCGCTGCCCGGGCCAAGCCCCCCCCCCCGCGGTGACGGCAGTCTAGGCCTCCCAGAAGGGGTCGGGGTATCGAAGAAAAAACAACGCCACAAACATAAACTTGTGGCGCTCCGCGCGGATTTCTTGGATCCGCGCTGGGGCCCCCCGGCGGCGCCTCCGGCGCTGCCCCTGGCGGGCTCCGAGGGGGTTCCAGCTCAGATCCAAGAAGTCCGCGCGGAGCGTCAACAGTTTATGTTTATAGTAGATTTTCTTCTAAATCGTTGGGGGTAGGGGTAGGGTTCGCATGTGGCCCCCTAGTTAAGCCTCTAGGTAGCGATCGTACGTTTTTTTGGGGGGGCCTGCTGGTGCTCCGTGTTCCTTGACTGTTTCATAGCTTGCCTCAGGTTTTCCCGAGGTTTTCGATGGGAAGTCGAAGTTCAACCTATGGGAAAGGAGGGGCCTCGTTCCTTATTTAGAGCTCCTGAGGTCAACGCCCCGACTGTACTCCGACCCCTTTTATGAGTTATGATGTTCCAAACTACTTTATCCTTGATCACCAGATTTCGAGCACCAGAAAAGTGCCCCCAAACTCAAGGTTTTCACGTGTCGGGCCCTGGGAGACACTCGCCCGACACTGTTTCGACACTGCTTCGACACTGTTTTGACACTTTGCCGGGTGCTCGAAATTATCTGTGGGATGTGGTCCTTAAGTAGGATGGGAGCAACATAAGGATAGGGAAAGGGGGGGGCAACGAAATCTGCTGCAGGCAGCTGGTTTCGGCCCCACCGAGGGGCCCATTCCTTCATATACACAGCCGGCGCCGGCGCCGGGAGGCGCCGGGAAAATCAGCTTCGTGAGCTGATTCTCAAACCCCCCCTTTGCTATCCCCCCCTTTCGCCCGGCCCGATCCCAACCCCCCCTCTTTGGGCAACGACCGATGCGCGGAAAGTATAAACAATCTCGATGAGGGTGGGCGTCCACGAGGCTCGCGGGGCTTCCCAGAAGGCAGGGGGACTTCCCAGAAGTCCGCCCAGCCTCCAACGAGCCTTTTCGGGGGCTTCTTGGGCCTTCACGAAGCCCCTCCGCCTTCCTAGATCTCAGAAGCCCACCGCCCTCGCGCCACCGATCCTCGATCCTCGATCCTCGATCGATCCTCGCTTCTCGAGCCTCGATCCTCGACCCCTCTTGTGGGCGCCACCAAGAGACCTGCGGCGCTTCGAGGTGGGAACGCGCGTGCGGTGCCGGATGTCTGTCACGGCGTGGGCGGCGGGCACGGTGACGAAGTCCAATTGCGGGCCGTCGCACGAGGTGGCCCCGTACCAGGTGAGGCTCGACGAGGGCAACCACCTGATCTGGGTTCCAGAGGATGGGGGGGGAGGGAGGAAGGGAGGGGGGGGGGAGGGAGGGAGGGCGGGAGGGGGGGAGAGGGATGAGTCGGGAGCGTCCAAGGGGGGGGTGATGACAAGAGGGAGGGGATATCATGGCGTGGGCCACGATACCTTCCCGGATTTCATGCCTCCCCTCTTCTTCTTTCAATGCATTCTGTGGTTCCCCCCCTCGTCCACGCACATGCCTCGGGCCATGATGCGCCCTCCCCCTCTTGGACGCCCATGTTATGAAGGGAGGGAGTGAGGGAGGGAGGGAGAGAGAGAGGGAATGGGAGGCGGGGGCTCTGGAGGACAACGACCAGATCATCCAGGGTCTCAGCTTTTGGGATTCGCCGCTTGGCGCTCTGCGCAGGCAGTTCGAGCTGGACCACGCCGTGCAGTGGCAGCAAGGTCAGAGCAGGCTGCCTGTATCGTCAGGCCAGCCATAACTGTGGGAGGAGCTGTGTTCCTTATCCTCTGGGGGCCGTCCATCGGCTTCGGCACCATTATCCGGTGATCGTCGATATCCCTGCGGCGCTAACGGCCACTAAAACAACAAATATGTAGAGAGAGAGAGAGAGATCGTCGATATGATGAGTCCCCCTGTGGGGGTAAGGAACACAGCTGCCCCGATGTGTGGCTGGCCGGAGCAGCGGGCGGGGCCGCCGTGCCTGTGGTGCCGCACCAGCTGGAGCGCGACATCGAGCAGTTTGAGCACCTGCTTTCCAGGGGCGTCCTGGGCTCGGAGGTCGGGGAGTACGTTGCGGACGTCGTCCTGCCCGACTACCGGCGGGCGCTCGAGGCCGCCCACTCGCCGGCGACCGGGGGCCGCGGCGACGTGCACGCCCTGCCCAGCCAGCCGCAGTTCGAGTCCGTCGTCGGCCTGCACCGGAAGTCGGGGGTGGTCAGAACCCCCACCCTTTCGATGCTCGTTTCGGGGACCTTCCTGGAGCCCACCTAACGGATCTGTTCGGCCCCAGTTCGATTCAGGTTCGACTCAAGTTCGACTCAAGTTCGACTCAGGTTCGACTCAGGGTCGACCCAACTCGACTGACGTTCGACGCAGCTTCGCCGCACGAGTGGAGCGAGTGGCTCCAGGAAGGTCCCCAGAACGAGCATCCAACACCCTGACACGTCGATCAGTGGGTTGTCCGTTTTTGGTTCTCGAGAGGGCGCCGCGGCCGTCCTTTCCGAGGCTTGCGCCCGCCAGGTCTGGGCCCGAAGTCGTTCTCACTGAAGCACGTTCTCGGTATCGCTCGGACGTGTGCACTTCTCCTCGGCGGGGATGATCAAGGAGCATCCTGGATCATCCTGCGAAACAGCCGCGCACGAAGCCGACACGAGCACAGGGCATGGACGCCCGAGCGATGGCCAGCGTGTTGCCAAAAGGGGGTGCTGTCCACCCCCGAGGAAGGCTCTGCACCTGCACCCGGGGGAGCCCGTGCGGGGCGGCGCGATCCGGCCGCGGGACTTCGAGGCCATCGAGCCTGGCGGCGCGCAGGGAGGGGGGGCCAGGGCGAGCGGGGCGGCCTGCCGCGGGTCGGGGTGGCCTTGCGCCGCCCCAGCTTGGGGGGGATGCTCACCACCCACCAGACCACCCCAACCCAACCCAACCCGAAGGCTTCAACTTGCCTTCCATTTCCAGTTTTTGGGGGGGGGGGGGCGGGGAACATCGAAAAAACACGCACATATGGAGCCCATGCCTCCCCGAACCCGAAATTCGGGTCGTCGGGTTGGGTTGGGGTGGTCTGGTAGGTAGTCAGATGTGCGTCTCGAGTCGGCGGCGAGCGAGGGTCGATGATCCACAGGACGCGTGTTGGCCCAAGCGTGTGTCCGCCCCGCTCAGTTCCGCTGGTAGCGCGCAGCCTGTGCAGGCACTCGTTGCGCCGTCTACGTCGTGTTGAGGGGCCTCGGCGGACAAACACGCGGTGGCGCTAACACGCGCTCTGAGGATCATCGAGAGGGGGTGAAGTGAGAAGGAGAAGGCCTTCTCAGAAGGCGGCGGGGCTTCTCAGAAGCCCCCGCGCCTTCCGAGAAGTTCTCTTCGTCTTCGGGAAAGGCCCGGGAGACTTCCGGGCCTTCCGAGAAGGCCTTCTCCTCTCTCGTTTCCCCCGCTCGCTCGCTCGCCGCCGATCGAAGCCCGAGGGGAACAGCCCGTGCCCTCATCCCATCCCTTGGCATCGCTCGGACGTGTGCATTTTTCCTTTCGGCGAGGACCATCGAGGAGCATCCTTGATCATTTCGCGAAAAAGCCACGCACGAAACCGAACAAAAACACAGGAAATGGACGTCCGAGCGATGGCCAGATCCAGGAGGGGGTAGATCGACCTGTGGGGCCCAGGCCGCGCCAGTGGGGACGGGGATCGGTGAGACGATGCTCAGTAGGGGGGCGCCTCGGCTGGGGTCGGAGGAGGAGGAGGAGGAGGAGGAGGAGGAGTAGGAGGCGGAGGAGGAGGAGGAGGAGGGAGGGAGGGAGGGAGGGAGGGAGGGAGGGAGGGAGGGAGGGAGGAGGAGGAGGAGGAGGAGGAGGAGGAGGAGGAGGAGGAGGAGGAGGCCCCTCGGCCCCCGACCCAGTTTTGCGTGCCGCCGGAGAGCGCGAGTTCAGGGAGAAGGATCACCATGCCGTCGTCATTTCGGGGAAACGTAAGACTCGAGTAGGCCAGAACTCGGGTTTGCCGCCTTTTTTGTGACGACTGGATTTTGACGGCCCCGTTTTCGTGGGATGTCTGCAGCGGGAGCCCGCGCCAAATTTCAGATTGGGTATCGTCATTTTTATGATGGCCCCCGTCAGGCCAACTCGAGTCCCCCGTACCCGAGTCTTAACGCCTCCCCGATCGTTGATGATCCGAGAGGCTTGCGCCGTTCCGCCGACCCGCCAAAGAAGGCACGGGCGGGGCGAGGAGATTCTTGCGGCATGCTGCCGTCTCTCGGGGCGCCTCGCAGCAGCCTCTTGGAGCGTCTGTCGAGGCATCCGGGGGCCTCTCGGTGCCGCCCGGGGGCCGTCGTCGCTGAGGATTCTCCCTCGCGTCGCGGGGCGCACGTCAAGAGCCCGCAGAGTCTGGACGTCGTGCTGGTCCACCGTGCCAGTCTGCCGCCCCGGAGGCGTCTCGGGGGCCTCTGGGGCCAGGGGCTTCGTGGGGCGCCTCTCGGGGGCCTCTTGGGGGCCTCGTGGGGGCCTCTTGGACTCGTCCTTTCCGGCTCGGGGGGGCTCTCAAGGCCTCCTGGGGTCGTCGTTTCGCGCTGTGGGAGCCTCCTGGGGCTGTCTTGGGGGGGAGAGGTGTCAGAGGCCAGGTGGAGTTTTTCCTCTCTTTGGCCCCTCTTGGGGGCGTCTGGGGCCGCCGGGCGGGCCTCTTGGGCTGTCTTAGGGGCGATCTCTGGGGCCTCTTGGACCTCCTCCTCCTCCTCCTCCTCCCTCCTCCTCCTCCGCCTCCTCCTCCTCCTCCGCCTCCTCCTCCTCCCTCCTCCTCCTCCTCCTCCTCCTCTCTCCTCCTCCTCCTCCTCCTCCTCCTCCTCCTCCTCCTCCTCCTCCTCCTCCTCCTCCCCCTCCCTCCTCCTCCCTCCTCCTCCTCCTCCTCCTCCTCCTCCTCCTCCTCCTCCTCCTCCTCCTCCTCCTCCTCCTCCTCCTCCTCCTCCTCCTCCTCCTCCTCCTCCTCCCTCCTCCTCTGACGATCTTGGGAGCCTCTTGGTCCGTCTTTGGCCCGAGAATGCGAGAACGCGAACATGATACAATCGAAGCCCTGAAGGCCATCAATGCCTTGTGCCTATGGCGGCTCTCCTGGGGGTCTTCCAGGGGCTCCTTTGGGGCGTCTTGGGGGCTCCGTGGGCCGTCTTGTGGACATCTTGGGCAGTCTTGGGAGCCCTTTGCGTCGTCTCGGGTCGTCGGGGAGCTTCGAAATCCCCAGGAGGCTGAACTCATTGATTCTCGCAAGGGGCAGATATGGACATGGGTGCGAGATGCGCCTCATCGGACCAGGCATCCCAGAACCCAGGCTTCAATGCGCGGTGGCCGTCGCTTGGAGAAGATGCTCCACGCGTCGCGCAATGCGAGCCTGGGGCGAGGGGCGCGGCTGGGTTGCGGGTCACAGGCTCTTCGGGGGGGGCTGAGTGCCTGCGCGGGGCTTCTTCGGGCCTCTTAGAGTCAGGCGATCGCAAGCGCGGATCAACGGGGCGTGGATTGGCGACGGGTCCCGTCTCCGTGGGAAGCCGCGGATTTCCGCCGCCGAGCGAGGCGGCACCGGCCGCATTTTGGGGAGGGCACCTCCCCCGATCCGTGGATTTGGCGACCGCGCGCCAAGTCCATGGATCGCTAATCCATGTTGGCGCGCCCCCGATCTTGAGGCATCTTAGGTTTTTGTTCGGCACGTCTTCGGGGTTTCTGGGCTCCCTCTGCGGGCATCCTGGCAGGGGAGGCGCCCACCGCCGGTTCGAGGTCCCTCTCCGGGGCCCCTCGTGGCGCAGTCTTTTGGGGCCTCTTTCGGGAAGTATTGGAGATCTCCTGTGCCGTGTTGAGGTTCTGTTAGGGGCTTTTTGATGCCATTTGGGCGCCTCTCGGGCCGTCTTCGGCGTCCTACGCTCACGAAATACGCACATGCCGATCGTTGACAGTAGGTGTTTTTGGATTCCCGGATCCCAATCTACTTCAAGCGCATCCCTACTTCCAGAATCGGCATGCTTTTGCTGTGTGTGTTCGCTATCTCTGGGAGGGCCTGGACCCAATCCACTTCATCCGCCTCCCTGTGTTTTTACCTACTTCTTCCGACCGACGTGTAAACAGCACGTAATCATTTGCAGGAACACCATATTGGGGACCATCGGCGAGCAAGGGCACCCATCGTGGTCTGCGGGAGCTGTCATGCGCGGGGCGTCACCGAGAATGCGGGAGTTGCTGTACGCGGTTTGCAACGAAGACTTCCTGTGGCAGGGCCACATGCGCCGTTGACAAGACGCGGGTTTTTCAGTAAGGGGTATCCACGGGTGTGTGCCGCGTGCACGTTTGGCGGGTTTATTGCGCGTGACAGGGAGAGCTACGGCAGAGGGATACAATTCATGTACATTCCCCTTCCCGCAGTTTCAAAGTTGGCACGCGCGGGGGGAGATTGCGGTCGAAGTGCAATTCATCAGAGTTTTCGCACATTTCGCTCATTTTTTGTTGGGGAGGGGGGTGGCATCGACAGGATGATCATGGCATGATTGTTCGCTAAGTCTTCCGAGGCCTGTAATGCGGGGGTGGCAGAGTTCGCCTGGTCCTTGGAACGAGGGGCTCCCAAGTGGCAGTCATGCGCGTGGCGCGCGGGGATGATGATTGGTGCGTACGGCTTAGCGCGCGGGCGCGAGCGTTTCGCGGCTTGCAGGATGTGCGCACGGGACCGCGAGGAAGCACATTTCCGCGTTTCTCTTGGCATCGTTCGGACGTGGGCACGCTTCTCTGCGACCTGGCATCTGCACCATCTTGGGGCACCCGGGGCCATCCTGAGAGACCAGAGCGCGCACGAAACCAAACAGTGCACGGGGAACGGACGTCCGAGCGATGGCACGTTCTATGAAAGCGCAGTCTTCGATCTTGTGGCGTGGTGGTGGTGCTGGTTCTGGTTGGCGGGTCTGTACCTAGGGGGCCACATGCGAACCCTACCCCTCCCCCCACGATTTCTGAGGGGGAGGTGGGGTTCACTTCGCTCGGGAGCTCCCGAGCGAAGTGAACCCCACCCTCCCCCTCAGAAATCGTGGGGGGTAGGGGTAGGGTTCGCATGTGGCCCCCTACTGGAGACGCCCACGGAGCGTGTGCAGGAGGTGCACGGGCAGGGTGGAGGTTCGGACTCCGTGGAGGATGAGAAGGTGAGGAGCTGGCGCCGCAGGCGGAGCGCCCCCCCCCCCCCCCCCCACACACACACGGCTTGGCAAGGAACAGGGGAGGAGGGAGGAGAGGGGAGGAGGAGGAGGAGGGAGGAGGGAGGAGGGAGGAGGGAGGAGGAGGAGGAGGAGGAGGAGCAGGAGGAGGAGGAGGAGCAGGAGCAGGAGGAGCAGGAGGAGCAGGAGGAGGATATTTGGGGAAGAAGAGGAGGTTGAGGTTGAGGCTGAGGATGCGGACGATGCTGCTGAGGAGAAGGAGGAGGAGGAGGAGGAGGAGGAGGAGGAGGAGGAGGAGGAGGAGGAGGAGGAGGAGGAGAAAGGGAGTAGGAGGAGGTGGCGGTGGCGGCGGGTGAAGACGAGGGCAAGGAGGTAAGCAGTAGCAGCGACGCTTGGGGGAGGGTCCGGCTATGCTCGCAGCTCCTGTGGCTTCCCCTTGCGAGTGCACGCGGGCGCGCCGCGGCCGCGCCAGGGAGGCCTCGGGCTGCCGGCGGCGGCGGGGGTCCTGTCTGCAGGGCGGGGAGCCGCGGCCCCGTCCTGCCGGCACGCGGCGAGGAGGGGGCCGCCAGGACAGCGGCGGCCAGCGTGGGGAGCGGGGCGGCGGGGGGCGGCGCGCGGCTCCGTCCTGGTCCTCTCGCCGGGGCGCAGGGGCGGCGCGAGGCAGGCGCGCTCGCGCGCGGTCTCCCACGCCATCGCCTGCCGTCCGCACGGGCCGCGCACGGGAGGTGTGCCCCAGGGCCCCCGGGGGCAGTCGTGCGCGCTCGCACGCGGAGGAGCGGGTGGGGCGGAATCGCGGGGGCGGGGAGAGAGGAAGTGGCGGAGCGTGGGGGGGGGGAGGCGCGCCCCCCCCCACCCCCCCAAACCCCACGCACACGCACGCCCACGCGGGAGGCGATGAGGAAACGAGCAAAAAGGGGGACAGACACGACGAATGGCGGGGGGGGGCAGCAGCAACCGCAGAGACGGCAGCAGACAGCAGAGCCCAGGGCGTGGAGGATAATGGAGCTGCCTGGCCCTGAGGAAGAGGATGAGGAGGAGGAGGAGGAGGAGGAGGAGGAGGAGGAGGAGGAGGAGGAGGAGGACGATGATTATGTGGATGATGCGGATCCCAATCGACTCACCCCGGTCGGTGGGTTGGTGGGTCGTTGTCGGCGGGCTGGTCCGTTGGGCGTTCGGTCGGTCGGTCCGTCTGTGAGTCGGTGTTCCCGCCGTCGCTGATTATTAGGAACGGAAGTGCTGGGATGAGTGGGGGGAGGAGAGGAGAGATGCGAACACAGAGGAGGGTGCGTGAGGGAGAGTGGCGAGGAGAGAGATCAGGAGACAGGGGTGAGGGAGACGAACCTGGAGAGGGGAGAGGTCAGGAAATGAGAAAGCAGATCAGAGACAAGTGGGAATAACATGGACAAATGTAGGACAGATGAGATGCGGGAGGGCTTCTGAGCTCCATTTAGCCCTCCTGGGACTCTCTTGGTGGCCCTTTGGGGCTCTCTTGAAGACCTCGTGGGCCGTCTTGAGGCTATCTTGGATTGATTTGGAGCCCTCTTGACTCTTGAGTCGTCTTGGGTCCATGTAATCGCGTTGGGGCCCTCATTGGGCCAGCTCGGGGGCCTCTTGGGGCCGTCTTGGGCCGCCTTGGGTCCTCATTGGGGTGTCCGGGCCGTCGTGGGGCCCTCTTGGGACGTCTTGGTGCCCTCTTGGGGGCTTCTTGGGCCGTCGTGGGTGGGGCGGTACGGGGGACCCCAGGGGCGTCGCGGGCTGCTGGAAGTCGGGTACTGCGGGGACGGATTAATTTTGCAAGAGCCAAAGAGCAATCATTGAAGTTTGTGTGTGTGTGTGTGTGTGTGTGTGTGTGTGTGTTTTTTTGGGGGGGCGTCTTGGATACCCTCTCGGTGCCCTCTTCAGGCATCTTGGGAGGCTCTTCGGCCGTTCGAGAGCATCCCCTGCTGTGCTGGAGCGCTCCTGGGCCTGCTGGGCCATCTCGGGCCTCGGCGCCGGCCTGGAGGGTCTCTGGAGCCGCCTCGGTGGCACCCTGGACGCCCTTCTGGAGCTATCCGGAAGCCTTTGATTCTCCCCCCGGGCTCACCCCCTCCTCCTGCTCCTCCTCCTCCTCCTCCTCCTCCTTCCTCCTCCTCCTCCTCCTCTCCTCCTCCCTCCTCCTCCTCCTCCTCCTCCTCCTCCTCCTCCTCCTCCTCCTCCTCCTCCTCCTCCTCACCCCCTGGTCACCCAGCACCCTGGGGAGCTCACCGAGCTCACCCAGGGGTCGTCCAGAGCAACCCCTACTACCCTCAATCTACATTTGGCGTCAGGCGGGGGGGAGATTTGGGATGGGAACATATTCTCACACGCCTGGAGACCCCAAGGGGTTGGTGGATTTCTTTAGCCAGGAGGCTTTGGCTAAGATTCGAGAGTTTCTCATGGACTCGACGTTCTGGTTCGACGCCAAGAACGGGTACGTTGGAACTTACGCGGAAACTGGCTTCGCTTCGCCTCTTGTCGCTCAGATCGACCAGGAGCTTAGGTCCAGCTTCCCGGGCGTGATTGGCAACCTGGAGCTGCAGAATTGTTGGGCTTTCATGTTCGACGGCTCAATGGGAGGGGTCAGGACTCACGCAGACAACGCTCAGGTTCAGATCAACTTCTTCCTTACTCCGTCGGACGCGAACGAGTGGTCCGAGGACGGCACGCTTCCTGGAGGCGGCCTCATCATTTACGGGGTTGGCCCGCCAGAGGATATGAGTTTGTTGGATTTGAATTTGGAGGACGACAAATCCAAGGAAGACATCCTCGCTTCTGTTGGCCACTGGAACGTGACTGTGCCTTACGTTCAGAACCGCGCCATCCTTTTTGACTCCACGTACTTCCACAGGACCGGTGGCGTGTGCGGCTCGAGCAGAAACGCTTGAAAAGCTCGAGATTCTCACCTTTCTCCTGCGCCTCCTCCCCACTAACTCCCTCATCACTCGCCTCCTTTTAGTCCTTGTTCTCAGGACCGACGACATGAGGTTCAAGAAGGGGTACAAAAACAGGCGCATCAACATGACGTTCCTCTACGGCAGGCGCGCAGATCTGAGGCCCGCCGCGGCCGTGGGCACGGAGGCCAAGCCAGAGTCCACGGTGGAGCTCGTAGACTGAGCGAGGGGGCCGCGGCAACGAGCGCGCTGATTGGGCACGTGCTCGAACTCCCCTCCCTCGAGGCCAGGCCTGCAGCCGCTGCCCGAGCCTGCGGTCAGGTCGGGCCTGACCTGGCTGCAGGCTCGGGCCGACGCTTGAATCTTGTGTGCTATGTTTGGCGCGTTTTGGGGGCGTGCCCAGCTTTTTCCTCCAGCATCCCCCCCGTACATGGGGGACAGGCCCGACCTGAGCCTAGGGCCTCTCGGAGCCCAAGTGCGGGGGCCACTACCCGAGTCGGGGGCCCCCCCTCCTGCCCGTCCTGTCGCAGTCCGCCTCGGAACGTGTGTGGCACTGGTTCGTCCGGGGCAGCGCTGTCGCCTCGACCACCAGCAGTCATTTCGAGCACCAAGCAGGCACCGACACTGGTGCATTTTCCCACGCGTCGGGCCCTGGGAGGCGATACTCGCTTGACACTGTTTCGATGCTTCTCTGGGTGCTCGAGATTGTTTCTGGGATGTGGTCCTTAAGTACGATGGGAGCAACATGAGCTCAGGGGGAGATGCATCGACCACGATCGCCCAGTCATCGCCGGCAGATGCGGGCCTGATATATGGGAGCGAAACGTCGCATAAACAGAAAAACTCGGAGGTCCGCGCGGACTTCTCGGATCCGCGCTGGACCCCCCTCCATGGCGCGCGGAGCGCGCCAGGGGCGGCGCCGTAGGCGCCGCCAGGGAGGTCCAGCGCGGATCCGAGAAATCCGCGCGGACCTCAGAGTTTTTCGGTTTATGCGACTTTTCGTTCCCCTATGATCGCCCCCCCGCCCAGGAACGCGTGCGGCTTCGCCCTCGGTCCGACTCCCGAGGCCGTGCCCCCCCCCCCCACTATCGTGCGATGTGCGCTTCGCGCCGCAATCCTCTGCAAAGTAGCGCCTCTTCCCGTTGTCGTGGCCGTGGTCGTGGCCGTCGTCGTGGTCGTGGTCGTGGTCTTGGCCGTGGTCGTGGTCGTGTTTGTCGTGGTCGTCGTGGTCGTCGTCGTCGTCGTCGTCGTTCTCAGAGAGGGGGGATGCCCTTGTCTTTGTCAGGGAGAGTCTTGAGTGCCCCCCTGGGACCCCAGCTTCAACAACTGCTTACGCCTGAGACGGCCTCTCAACGTCAGTACGGGGTGGCATCTCCGCACCTGCATTTGGACAACCTTAGTAGTATTATGTTGCATTTGTTTTTTCTTTGCGACACCTTCCTAAGCCCTTCTGGACCCCACCCCCTGGTAGGGAATGGGGCTTGTTGAGGAGAACACCAAACCCCGCCTTCGGAAAACCAGCTAAGCCACCCTCAGCACTCCCGCAGGAGTGTGCGTGTGTGTATGTGTTTGTGTGTGTGTGTGTATGTGTATGTGTTGGGGGTGGTGGTCGTACGAAAGTCCCGGGGCGCCAAGCAGGCCTGGTGGATTTCAGCCCTGCCTCTTTTCACCTTCTGCCTCCATCGCTGTTCTTCGTCGTCTTTCTCAATCCTTGTCGTCCTTCTTCTTTTCCTTCGTCTCCTCCTCTTTGTTCGTCTCCTCCTCCTCCTCCTCCTTCTCCTCATCCTCTTCCCTCGTCTCCTTCCGTCGTTTCCTCCTTCGACGGGAGTGCCCGGGTTTTGGTAACGCTACGAAAACAAAACAAACAAAACACCAAAGCGGTGGTGGCAGACACTGTGGAAACACCTTCCGGAAGAAACCGAACAATAAAAAAACAAACATCCCAGCGATAACCCCAACGTCCGACGGGCGGCCCCGCTGTGAGGCTAAATATATACGGTTTGCAAATGTTTGGGAACATCTTCATAACAAAAAGCAATAACATCAACGAATCCAAATCTTTGTTAGCAGAAACTCTAGGAACACCCTCAGGAAAACAGGAAAGAACAAATATCCAGCGACAACCCGAACGTCCGAAAGGCGACCCCGCATTTTCTGTGGAAGTTTCGTTTTCTATGTGTCGTGAAGGTCTTGCGGCCGGCGCCGCCGACCCAGAAGAACGACGACGACCACGACGACAACCACGACGACGATGACAGTGACGAGCTGATGGCCCTGCCATAGGCTCGGGATAGAGGGCGGGCGGTGGAGGGAGGAGGAGGAGGCAACCTCCCTGGATGAGGTGCTCCCTTCATTCTTCTTTGCAATCGTAGTAGTGCGTGCGCGACTGAGGTTTAACCTGTTCACAAACAAAAATAACAGGAGGCGGAGGAGGAGGATGAGGAGGCGGAGGAGGAGGAGGACGAGGAGGAGGAGGAGGAGGAGGCGGAGGAGGAGGAGGAGGAGGAGGAGGAGGAGGAGGAGGAGCGGGTGGAGGGGTCCTGAGCTTCCGTGCCGACAGGGAGCCACCCCTTCGTCTTCCTTCCCCACATCGGGGACCGCCCGGGGTGGGGGTCACGACCCCCGGGCCCCTCCCCCCTCCCCTCCCCGGAGATTTCCCCCCCCGCCCCCCCCCCCCCCCCCCCCCCCCCACCCCCCCTTCCCCCCGCCCCCCCCCCTCCCCCCCTGGAGACCACCCCCCAGCCCCCCAGGACCTCCCGAGCCCCCCCCCCCGGGGGGCTTCGACCCCCTAACGGGATAGCGACATTGTTCGATCCCCTTTGTTTGTTCGATCTCCCTCACGACGACGACGATTCGAAGGAGGCAGGCGTACTTCAGTTTGGGGGGTTGGGCTTGTCTCGCGTCGAAAGCCTCTCACACACGCCGAGTGTGTCGGCGGATGTTTGTTGGTTTTCTTGAGGGTGGTCCCAGAGTTTCTGCTATTTGTTTACGCATACCCAAATAAACCTTCATACGGACTCTTCATTCAGAAACGCGTGCCAAGGAATCCTTGCGAATGGAATCCTTATTCATGGGACGCTTAGAATCCTCACTCAAGGACTCGCCATGGGAAAGGACCGTTACGAAGCTGATTTCTGAATGAAATGGTTCTTACGGGGCAATCCTTATGACAGGGATCCGGGTCAAGTCGTCTTCCTTTTTGGGCTTCTTTTAGGGGAACAGCCCTTGCACAGTAATTTCAACTCAAGGACCTTACTAATCCATCCATTCCTACATAACCCTTGCTATAAGAACTCTCACCCAATGCACCCTTATTAAGTAATCCGCGATACATGCATCCTTCGTGCTGAATCATTATTGAAGTAACACAGATCTATTAAAAGGGGCTCGTGCCGAGGATTCCCCATTTAATATTCCTCAAGCCGGGGATCCTTGCGAAAGAACTCCTTGCCATGGAACCTGATTTGAAGCAATTGTCCCTTGGGAATCCTCAAATCTCATATTGCATCCTTATCGCGGAATCCAGCCCAATTGAACCCTTGATTCGGGGTTCGTCTGTAAGGGGATCCGGGCGAAAGGACGAAAGCGCTGTCATTAGAGGAGTCCTAACTAAAGAGCCCTTGGTACAGACTGATTACTAAAACGTATCCTTCCTCCAGGAGTTCTTGCCGCTTTACGAAATAATCATGATCTAGGAATTCTTACGGCATTATCCTGTCAAGGGGACCATTGACAAAGGAATCGTGAGCAGCGAGTCCTTACAACCAAATAAGACACCATTGGGAAATCATGACCACTATTACTTATGAAAGGGAGCCTCAGGACGATTAACATCGTATTAAACGACCATTACGCAGGGAACGTGTATTACCATAAACCTTACGGCAGGGTTCTTTACTATGGAACCCTGCTTACACCAATCCTTACTACAGAATTGTGTCGAATGACCAAATGGAAACCTCAGGAATCATTCAGAATCCTTAGGAATACGTGGGTATCTTGAGAAAGCCGACGCGGTTCTTTCGACATTACCTAGGGAGATAGAGAGAGACAAAGAGAGAAAGAGAGAGAGGGAGAGGCAGCGAGAGAGAGAGGGAGAGAAGACAAATAGAGAGAGAGAGAGAGCGAGAGAGAGAGAGAGAAAGAGTCACAGCGGGTGTGAGAGAGAGAGAGAGAAAGAGAGGGATAGAGGGTGCGAGAGAGAGAGAGAGAGAGAAAGAGAACGAGAGAGAGAGAGGCAGAGAGAGAAAGAGAGAGAGAGAGAGACAGAGAACGGGAGAGACGGCGAGAGAGAGAGAGAGAGATAATGAGGGATACATATATATATATATACACATATATATGTGTGTATATATATAAATGGGGGGAGAGAGAGAGAGAGAGAGAGAGAGAGAGAGTCGGAGAGAGATACACATAGATAACCAGTAGTGAAAGAGGATGTATAGAGAGAGGGAGAGAGAGAGAGAGAGAGAAGTATAGAGAAAGAGAGAGAGAGAGAGAGAGAGAGAACGAGAGAGAGAGAGAGAGAGAGAGAGAAAGAGAGAGAACCAGACGGACTTCAAACATATCCACGTGGAATCCATCAGGCTTGCTTTGCCCCCCTGGACCCGTACGAACACCACCTGCTTCTTCTTCTTCTTCGCAAGGAGACAACCCTCAGCACATGCTTCCCTCTGGGTATGGCGTGTTTGTGTTCGAGGAAGCTATTTTGCGCCATGCTAGCCAGCGTGGCTCCAAACACTGTGTTTTCAGCATGCGAGAAGGTGCAATCGTTGTGGTGCAGGTCGCCCTGCCAAACTTGAAGTTGTGACCTGCACTGCTCGCGCGATCATCCCACCCCGCGCCCGCAATTTAGCTTCAAAAGCCAATGCGGCGGCGATTGCGATGACTGTGTGGCGCTGGCTGGCGCATCGCTGTGGCTACGCTGCGCGCGCAGGCTCCCGCGCGGAGCGGCCAGGCAGTCTGGCGCGACCGACGTGGCCGCAGTGGCGCTGACCGCTGGGGACTTGCCAGTTGGTCTCGCCGACCACGCTCACGCGCCGACGCTTCAGTGCGAGGCGGCGGCCCGGAAGAGCGCGGCAGCATACGTAGCAACGTCGACAACGACAGGCACGACGATGAGACCAGCAATGCTGGTGACGATGGTGGCAACGACGACGGCAAGGCCAATGACGGCGCCGATACTTATAGCGCCGTTGACGATGATGGTGTCCACGCGTCGAAGATGAAGGTTTTGGGATATTTCGACATGCGCGCGCGGCCAACCAATGGGCGCGAGTGGCCCGCGTGGTTTTGTGTGACACGGGTCGTGCCCCCCCCCAGCAAACGCACAAGGGCATTCGAATGGTTCCGGCATGGCACGCGAGAGGTCCGCTTGGTCGAATTAGATTGACATGTTGAACAACTTGTGCTATTCGTAGGAATTCGCAAAAGCGCACGCACATTGTTCTTCAAAGCGCAGGTTGCGAAACCATGTGCTTTCATCTGTTGTGGGGAACCTCGCATTTTAATGCCCCACGACACCCAGATGTTTGACGGATTTCGGCATGCGCGCGCGACGCCTCGCACGTTTGTTTTGTTTCTCTGCAAGGGGGGATGCAAACATTGATGGTGTTTGAAAGACGAGTGCGCGCGCATAGTATTCATTTGGCGAGGATGACAGGGACATGATTACCGCTTTGGCTGGGGTCGTATGAGCTCTTGTTCAACATGAACGATTGGGGCACACTTGCATGCACAAT